GCGACCCGACCTCGGATAAGCGGGAGAAAATGGATGGATGGATGGATGGATGGTATAGAATATACCCTTTCCTTCAAATAGTCTATGCGCAGAACACCTGTATATCTGTGCATTTCAACCAATCAGATGGTGGTGATGCAACCAGCTCAGCTTGGTCATGCTTTCAGCCCTGCTAGTAAGCGGGGCCGTGTCGGTATGAGTCACCAGTAGAGGCATTGAGTGTCCGGTTTTTGGCATCCTGTCTCGCCCCCTACAGGCCGAGCTGAGGCAGAGGCAAGAGCTCCAGGAGAAGCTGGTGGCAGCGGTGGCCAGTCGTGAGTTCGAGCAGCTTAAGCGATTTGAGGAGTTAATGGAGCTGAAGCAGAGACAGGAGTACCAGAGCATGCGGGATATGATGGAGAAGGAGTGCGTGCCGCCGTCGGTCACGTTACCAGCCACCTTGCTGGGCCACCTTTCATGGGCATTCTCCCGTCTCATTTTTATCCAGGGCCCAGGAAAGTATCGGGCGCCAGGAGAAGCTGAAGGAGGAGCAGAGACATCGAGCCAAGGTACGGTTCTGGGTGCCTGAGGAGTTTGTCTTCACGGTGTGCATGGGCCTAATCTCAGCATCCTCAAATGAAAGACTCGCTGTTCCCACTTAATTTGGCTGCTCTGCTTTTGTTTTGTGTTTTTGTTCTTTGACACTTAATTATGTTAACCTTGTAGAATAACTTTTTCCTTTGTATAGAACTGAACCAAGCAAAAGGTCATTTGAGTAGCCCAAAAAAAACCAAATAAATCAAATAAACATTACAATACATCCCAGCAGGAGTTTCTTGTAGGGATGGACTGATCCACATTTTTGAGTTCCAATCCGATTCCGATACACAACTGCCGATACCGATACAGATTCTAATACGAAAGCTCTTTTTACTTTAATATTTTAATGTGCATGTACATATACATCTTATTGATATTTTGAAATTAGTAAATACAAATGAAAAAATATATGCCAAAATCTTTAATTAGCCTATTATAAACATACATAACATACTGTTCCACTTTATTTGTACATCTTATTTTAAGAGTTTTTGAGGCATTTGGAGTTAAGTTTGAGTATTTTCCAAGAGAGTATACGCAAGTGGCGAATGCTTAAAATGCCCCACAGTTTTTCTCCCACTGGCAACACTTACACTTTGCTGCGACAGCAACCCTCCCTGTATCACAAGCTGTAGCGAGTGTGCAAATCAACCCAAGCTAGTGATCATCCACTGCTTTTTCCATATTACTCACGTTGTCTTGCACAATTGCAGGGATTTTCCACTAAACGTAACTTCTACCTCTCAAAACTTTGTTTTTACAAAGTTTGCAAATCACTGTGCTACTAATTGTTTTTAAAAGCATAGAACACTTCCCGATCATCACCTTCTTATCTGATATTCTAACACTCCTCCTACTGCAAAGGGTATGCACATGACATCACAGCAGAAGGGAGTCACCCACTGACAGAGAAAAACTGATTGCCACAAAAAACACGTCTAAAATGGGAAAGAGCTGTTATGCGATTGGTTGTACAAATAGACTTAACAAGAAATAGGAGCTATTCTTTTTTACAGACTCCTAAACTAAAGTATTGAACGTGAATCGGTCCCTTATGGTCGATACCCAATCCGTCTAATAGGTCTGGATCGGTGCCTATCGATCTGAACATCGGATCGATGCACCTCTAGTTTTCAGTGTCTGAAAGACTAGAATCGCTTCCTGATGAAGGCCATGCTCTCCTTCACTGCCACCCTCCAGATCCTTAACCTCCGCCTGCGGGAGGTGGAGCAGCAGCGCCTGCGGGAGGCGGAGCTCGAGCGCCAGCGGCAGGCCGAGGGCCGAGAGAGGCTGCGCGCTCTCAATGCCGTCCAGGAGGAGGTGCTGCAGCTCAACCAGCTGCTAGAGGCCTCCACGCCCAACCAGGCCAGCCATGTTCTAGACATGACCTCCTACAGCACGCGCGCCAATCAGCTCTGCTCGCAGGTGTCGGAGGTGGTACGCACCACAGCGGAGGTAGGTCTGCCTTCTCATAATGTACTAAATGAATAAATGTCATTTTATCCAAAGCGCCATACATTTCTTAGAGAATGCAGGGTCAGCCAAAGGTTAAGGACCTTACTTCCGAAGCCGCATTAATGTTACATCGTTCGTAAGCTCTATGTTAAAAGATAGAACTTACGAACAACTCACCCCTGATCAGTGCCTGCAATACCTGCATTCCCCACCAGGGTAACTTCCCCAGCGTGGAGGACATGGTCGTGGCTGAGCGGGCTCTCCAGGACATGAGGCTGCTGATCCGGGCCATGCAGGAGGAGGCTGCCCGGGCACAGGAGAGGAGGCGACGGGAGGAAGAGGAGGAGGCACGCAGGAAGCAGGCGGAGCTGCAAGCAAAGCAGGAGGAGCAGAAGAAGAGCGCGGAACGGTCTGCCAAAGAGAAGATCAGGAAGCAAGGTGAGGATGAGCTGGAGTAGGAGGGGATGATGGGGTGGATTTGATAAGGAGAAGGAGGGGACGTAGTGGTTTTGGTGAGGAGGAGTAGAAGAGACTGTGGTGGTTTTGATGAGTAGGAGGAGGAGTGGATGATGAAGTGGTTTTAGTGGCTGGAAGAGGGGAGGACAACAACGGTTTTGGTGAGTAGGAGTATAAGGAGGGGAGACCACTAAGTGGTTTTGGTGAGGAGGAGGGCAGGATCATGGGGTGGTTTTTGTAAGGAGGAGTAGGAGGTGACGATGGAGTGGTTTTAGTGAGGAGGAGGAGGAGGGGAGGATGACCGGGTGGGTTTCGGTGAGGAGGAGAGAGTGGAGGGGACATGGCTTTTTTTAATGGTATTGGGTCAGCCAATAACAGTGGGTCCCCAGGAGTTGAGAACCACTGTTTTTTTATTTTTGGGTAATGAAGAGGTCTTGCCAAAATGCACCCACACTGGCCCCCCATGGATCAGGTTCCCTGGTACAGAGCCTGTTGTCTGTTAAATCGAGAATGTCTCAATGACACTCTGACAGGGCTGCAGACCAAGGCTGAGGACAGCACCCTCAAATGGCACCAGGAGTTACAGGACTTCGCTGACAAGTGTACACTGTCGTTTGAAGAGCTCAACAACACAAAGGACCTCCAGGTTTGCCACGAGGCTCGATGCTGTGCGTCTGTCCCTCGGTGGAGGGCTGGGGATGTGGCTTTTCTGCTGTGTCTGCCATGTGTGTGATGGTGCAGAGAGGGCCCCTCTGAGGTGTTCTCTCCTGGCCTGGCTTCCTGCAGACTAAAAAACTGAAGATGGAGCTTCAGAAAGCCGCCACCATCCCAGTCAGCCAGATCTCCAGCATCTCAGGTGGGTGCCTTTGGTCCGGGATGGGATTTACCAGACTGAAATGTGAGATCAGCCTGCCGGTCTCCTTTGGGCATATAAGAGTCGCAATATAAAATAGAGATGCACTGATTACAATTTTTTTGGCCAATTTCGATTGTGGCCAGCCAATACCGATTTTTGCCGATGCAGTTTTCTTTCTAAGAACTATCATTGACAGCATATATACAAAAATCAGCTTTTCTTCAATGCAAATTTTTATATACAAACCTCCCAACTTTATCTGACATTTTACTTTACCAAACAAGAGCAAGTGCAACAGATTTAAATAACAAAACAAATGTCAGTTACTTATGTCATTTTCCAACATGTTTAAATTCCCCATATAACACAAGAATGACCTTTTTCTCTTTTTTATTAGTCTTAACAAACCACCAAATAAAACTGAAGTGCACTATACTCTTCCATACAATAGGTGCAGGGCAATATTATTAATACCAACATCACATGTTAAGCACATACAATTCTTACATCACTAGTCACCATGATTAAAATCAGGCTTTTTCTTACCTTCGTACCGTACAGACCATAGGGGGGGTTAAGTTGCGGTAAAACATTTTTACTCTGTGTAAAACTTAGCTTATTGGAAATACGAGAGACTCATTTGCTGGTCTCCGGTCTTGGCCGAGCACATTGAAAATCAGCTGATTCCAGTCCCTTGCCAGTCGATCGGTGCATCTCTAGTGAAAAGGGGACATAAGTGTAAGAGACAACGTATTAGATATTAAACAATCATAGATAAGCATGGTGTGCAATTGCCAGTGACGTGTTTCCAAACCTGCTCCTCAGGGACCTGCAGACAGTCCATGTTTTTGTTCCCTCTCATCTCTTGGTAGCAAAAATGTGGACTGTCTGTGGGAGCAAAAAATCTGTGGGTCTCTGAGGACCGGGTTGGGAAACGCAGTTCTAAAGAACAAATAAGTATTTTCATAAGCTGTAGATGTATTAGGTGAGTAGGCTGTTGGATTTTTGGCTGTGCATAGGTCCTAGATACTGTCTTCATTGAGGGTCTTCCGTATTTGTCCTGCAGGTTCCAAGCTAAAGGAGATCTTCGATAAGATAGACAAGCTGCTGTGTGGTCGGCCTGTGCAGTCGGGGGGCAAGTCCGTGTCGGCCTCCCACCATCCCAGTGGTCTCGATTTTGTCAGCTATAAACTGGCAGAGAAGTTTGTAGTGAGTGATATTTACAGTCATCGAGGGGGCTTGATTTTGACTTTGTGTCTTTGTTGAATAAAAAGGGCTGAAAGTTGTGTTTTAGAGTAGTTCCAGTGCTGTCTGTCTGTTTAGGTTGTTCTGCTGGGACTTTGAGATATCGGCCGTAGAAATGTCAGGCTTCTCTCGAAATATAATGGGAGTGAATGACATTCTCTCTGTGATGTTTAAAGCGCCAAAAATATGCATTTGGAAAAATTTAACAGCAATATCTCTTACTAGAAATCATGACCTGGTTATTCGTGATTATCCACAGACTTTGTAGTGAGCAGTTTGCCAAACTGTATACACCAGTCATATCACTGCACAGAAGATATTGATTGGGCACTCATGCTCAGTACAGCACACTTCAGACTCTAAAGTGCCAGCCAGTGTTAAAATGGGATCACTTCCCACTTGCTGTTCTTCAGAAACAAGGTGAAGAGGAGGTCGCATCACACCATGAAGCTGCATTCCCCATCGCCGTCGTGGCAGTTGGGCTGTGGGAGCTGCACCCCAAGGTGGGGGACCTCATCTTGGCCCACCTGCATAGGAAGTGCCCGTACTCCGTGCCCCACTACCCCCCCATGAAGGACGGCACTTCAATAGAGGAGTACCAGAGGTCAGCACAGGTCACCAGGATTTACCTCTAAATCAGTGTTTCCCAATCCGGTCCTCGGGTCCCAAAGTCGGTACATGTTTTTGCTCCCTTCGAGCTCCCTGCCAAAAACATGGACTGTCTGCAGATTCCCGAGGACCAGATTGGGAAACGCAGCTCTAAAAGATAAACGATGCCAATACCGGTATTAAGGTTTAAGATGCTTTTGTGCTGAGGATAGGTACGCTCCTGCATTTTATAGGATTGCTTCCTGTTCTAAGAGCTTGTGGCTTCAGAAAGTGTCTTTTTTTTCTACATGATGGGCTCAGGATCCTGGGATACCGTGTGGAGGACTCTGGAGTGGAGGTCCAGGACAGTTTCCTGAAGAGAATGTCCGGAATGATCCGCCTATATGCGGCTATTATACAGCTGAGGTGGCCCCATGGGAACAGGCAGGGGGTAGGCTGAAAGGGATGGATAACTTTATCCAGTTTCAGGGTTTTTTTGGGGGGAGGTTCTTATTGTTGTTGCGCTCCTGTAGGAAAGTCCTCATGGCCTGAACCATGGTTGGCGCTGGCTGGCACAGATGCTGAACATGGAGCCGTTGGCGGATGTCACCGCCACCCTGCTGTTTGACTTCCTTGAGGTGAGGCCTTGCTGTCGGGGCCCAGTGTCTCACTCCTGAGGTCTTTCTGAATACCCTGAACGAAAAGATTGTACCTGTGGTCTTGGCAAGATCGGTCCTGCGATCTTGCATCCCAAGAATGAACTTGGGCCGCTCTGAATTGTGGGACTGGTCTCATTTTGTGAGGATGCAACTGATGTATCCTTGATATTTGGGGCGGGGCTGGAATGACATCTGAGGATTTTTACCATCCTTTGTTCTTCTGTTCTTGAATATTGGAACTGGTCTTTGGCAATGGGAGATTAGGTAAAACGGTTACACGAGAACACAAGTACGGCCAATACGCACATTAACAGCCCTGATGTCCTGTTTCTCTCCCCCCTGCCCATCAGGTATGCGGTCATGCCCTGATGAAGCAGTACCAAGGCCAGTTCTGGAAACTGATCTTCCTCATCAAGGAGGACTACTTCCCCAGGTACCTCACTGGCCCCTAACAGGGAGCCTGCTGTAGATGGTAACTTCTCTGCCACATATATCCAAAGAGTTAGAGATGTTCTGCACATGTATCTTTATATAGCCATGTGCTAACCCAATGTACAAAATCTTCTATGCTGGTTTTTGCTATGTGTCCTTCTTTCCTCCCAAGATTTAATTAGCAGACCTTTTTGTCCAAAGTGCCATAAAGGTGAGGAAAAGCCTGGGGTCAGAGTGCAAGGTCATCGGTGTCTCTGGAATAGTTGTGGTTCAGGGGTTTGCTCAAGGCCCCAGATATTATGCTGCTGGCCAGGTTTTCGCATTGAATGTGCAAATACCTTACTCGGTGCAATATGAAGCAAGGTAGCTATTATGTGCAAAGATTCAATGAAAACAATATGTTCTTCCAAAGTGACAGCAGCCTTAAGTGCTCAAATGGACATAAACCAGGTGTCGTGAGGTGCGTTAGTTAGTGGACAGAACTTTTTCGTGCTGGAATTTTATTTCAGGATGTGGGTTTGAGATGCTTTTTGAAACGACATGTGAAATTATTGCAGTGGGTTGTGGCTCGGGGGTTTAGGGTGCTGTGCTCGTGGGCAGAAGGTTGTTGGTTCAAACCCCAAACTCAGCAGTTGGGTGCTTAAGTAAGGTCTTTAATCTAAAAAGCTCCAGGGAGTGTCTGATGCTTTTTGGATAAGTGTCTGCTAAATAAATAAAATGTAATATGTTAAGTGCTCTTCCATAAACAATGTGTGCTCCTCGCGTGTCCAGGTTTGCCTTTCCTGGTACCTGAATGCCCACAAGAGATGGACAGAGGCTGATGCCCTAAGATGTTGTTACGGTTCCCCACTCGCAGGCCCTCATGCCATGTCTTAGCTACCTCATTGTTTTTTGACATTATGATTTGTGGCAACCCCCCCCCCCCCCATAGAATCGAGGCAGTGACCAGCTCCGGCCAGATGGGGTCTGTGATGAGGCTCAAGCAGTTCCTCGAGGTGAGGGCGAAGTCCTGCTAAACTGGTTCTCTTTTGAGACCCAGTTAACCCAGGCAGTGGGTCACTGAAGAGACCCTCGTATCCCCCAGCTGCACATCTGCTCTGCGATATTCCTGAATTAACATCATCTCCCTGTATTTTTAGAATGCTTTGAGACGCCGGGAGATTCCTCCAGCCAAAGGTCAGCTCAGCCCTTACTTCTGGAGGTCTTAAACAGGGAAACAAATCTTACGAAGGATGCTGTCATCTCAGCCGGCCTCATGGCGTCACGCTCTGGCTTTGGGTCTCCTACTTTGTGTAATTAAAAATGCACTATAAGCTGCTGGGATATTGGGAATGTGTATAAAAATTTACTGTGTTCATGGCTCTTTATAAGCGGATCTGTTTTAAGCCTGTGTCACATGACATGCATGATGGTTTTTAAGCAAGTCTCTCATTATGTTTGGAGAATATGATAAGGGTTTTTGTCCGCATATTCCTCTAAATAAGGTTTTAATTTTTTTGTATTATACATGCAGAATTGTTATTTGAGGATGTGAAAACAGTTTTTTTTGTATATCCTGTGCTAGTGCATATGACCAAAGATGACACACTGGTTTTATTCAGATACGGTCAACAGGTCGAGTAGCTTGAATGACTTCTGCATTTCTCACATTGGCATCATTATCACTGTATTTTATTTCGACGTGAAGTATGCTTCAAACTGCTGTGGAATTATAATATCAAATGTCTTAACTGAATGCCGTTATTGTTTACCGCATCATTTTGCAAAATGATGAAAGATGTACACTCGTCTTATGTTTAGTATTATAGAATGCAGTTTTTTGTTTATTTTACAGGCTACCGTGTAGCCTATATAAAAGCGTATTTCTTTTTACGATGTATTATGATTAAATGTACATACTACAGCAAACTGCGGGGTTTTTGACTGATTTGTATCCGGTTTTTTTGCAAACCTATTTGCATTGGTCAGATATCTCGGATGATACGCATTTTCGCTTCTGGCATGGAACCAGGAGAGGGAATATAGGGTATTCGCCTGTCATCAGAAAATAAAACGCTGAAATTAAAATATACCACACATTTTAATCACGCATATCAAAAGCTTTCATTTTTAAAACGGAAGCCTGTTCCAGTTGTTTGAGTCGCTATGCCCGATTAATGACCTTTGCGTAGTCGCAGTACTACATTTCATTGCGCGTCAGGAACACTGCATGACCGTAGCTGTGTGCTTTAAAACCAACTGGCTTTGGAAGCCGAGATGTCGCGGGTCCGGTTTAATCACTGCCTTGTTTGTGGGGGTGAAAACAGTCAGCCGTGTGATAAATTACTAGACAACAAGATGGTTGGGGAGAGGCGGCTCGCACGGCGGCGTGACTCGGCTTTTTCCGTTGTCCTTTCGGAGAACCCGCTTGCACGGGGGCATGATTCGGCTCTTTCCGTCGTCATCCGCCGACCCATCGGTAACGCGGCTCGAACGGCTGCTGGTTTCGACTCTTTCCGTCACCGTCCGCCAGCGCTTCGGCTGGGCGCTGCGGTGAGTGACGTCAGCGCTTCCCCGAACCTATATGCGCTCGTGTCGGCAGTCTGCTGCATTCACCCAAGACGGGAAGCAAATTGTGCTGTGCATCGAAAGAGGACTCTGTAAAGCAGGTAAGGAGCGAATGCAAGCTAAATAATATTTGCTGGTTATACCTGGATATGAGGTTGTAGGCGGAAGACCCGTTATGTGCATGAAGTTATGTTTAGAAGAGTAAGACTTTAAAAAATGAAATGGTTTTGCTTTATGGCATAGCATTCCTAACAATCCCATTGCGTGTGCGTGGGAAAGGTATGGCTTTGTTTGGATGTTTACGTGGTAGGCAGTTCTCCAGTTAGGCAGGTAACCTATTTACTAGCCGGCTTACGTTTTTATTTATTTATTTTGGAGCAAATCTTTTTTTTTTCTTTTCCCTGTCACCGACAAGGACCCGCCCAGCGCCCACTAGGAATTTCATTGAACAAAATGGATCGCGACACGGTGGCGAGCGACAGCGGCGCAACAAGCCAGATTACTAGTTAACAGTGACCAATTACCCACGGGTCGTCTGTGATCCGTCAGATCGTTCCATTTAAGACGACTGTAAAATTCTATAATTGCAGTGATTTTTAAACCCCGTCCCTTAGGAAATCGGTGCCCCTGGCGTTCCTGTATACGCTATGCTGTAGATGGTGTCTGGTCGTCGGAAATGGCTTCCCCGGGCTTTTGTACTTCATGTGGGAAATCCGTGCGGTAACCGAACTGGATAGTAACCAGCTTCTTCATCCCCATAACCTCCCCCTATGTTTGCCGTGATAACAGTAATACCGCGATGTACACCGCAGATGTCAGCCTCAGGATGAGTGCAGATGTTTACACGGTTTCACCCCTTTAATGTCATTTAAACACAATACACCGCTCACTGATTACGGAATTCAACTTATAGACTCTCGCCGTTATTATTTAACGATCCTGATACCAGATTTAAGCTCTGGTTGACTAGTTGTGGCTACCCCAAACGAATCTGGGATTGCGTTTCCAGCACAATATTTGAACAAGGGATTCTTATATAAACCCATTTCTCAGTAATTGCATATGCGTAACATTTAATGTTTTCCCATTGCGTTCTGTTGTTCGGTAAAATGCTGCCATGAAATTCCCCGGTGAATGTTTTAATTTAATGGCGAGATTAAATAACGAGGCTTCTGTCATTACTGTACAGGTGTTGACCCCGTTTTTTGATGGGCCCCCCAACTCCGCTATATATCTATACTACCTGTATAAATGATGTTTGCTTTATTAGGTTTTGTCCCTACATGATATTTTATTAGGAGGGTATATCTTTATGTGTAAATGGTTCGCTCGTGTTATTGACGATTATTGTAACGTATTCCTATAGTTTTTAGTTCTGCCATGGAAATTTCTAGATTGCACGGGAATATGGCCGAGCGACATTTGCCCTTCAATGTTTCGGAATAGCGTTATATATTAATCTAGTATTTCAGCCCGCGGAACCTGTTCGTCTGGTTTACCGAAGGTTAGCTGGGGGACCCTAACTGGCAATTACTGCCCTCATTAATGAAATGAAGAACCTAGTACGATATATCATGACAAATGTGATGTTCGTAAAAAATAAAGGTTTGTATTTAAATTACAGATAATAAAAAGAATACAATTTAAGACTTTAGGGTAAGAAACAGTAGGGATCCCTGGTGTAGATCAGCAAGTATTGATCATTATAATGTGTGTGAATTTTGACACTCTGGGGAAAAAAATGTTTAATTTCTTATTCTGCAGAATAAGATAATGAGACTGAAATGCATTATCCGGCGCTTAAATGATCAAAAACTGCGATTAAATAGAAACCGTGCCATTGAGTGTCTGCTGGCCGTGGGGGTTGTGCGGCGCGGCATGGTTTGCGCCCGGCTCTCCTGCGCGATCCCGTCTCCCGTCCTACGCTGTTTACGCAGCGCGCCGCATTCCTGTCTCTTCTGCGAGCTAAGCGGTTACGCTTTGCGCGCAATTCATACATTTCTGAAAATATGGTTTTTATAAGCTGGTCAATGCACACACGTCAGATCTTTATACTGTTCTATCTTGTCCCCCTTGGAATGTGCGTCTCTTCGATTGTGTGTCTTACAATGTCTTTTGGAGGTTACAGTAAGACCCTTGTAAGTGTGTTTTTATTTGCAGGCTTTGTTTGCTCTGTACGTTTTAGGATCTTGTCTTATGATCTTGTTTATTTTGTGGCCGGCACCTGCACCTGTCGCCGTGCCGACATGTTGTAACCCTCTGTTCAAGGTACAATGTGTAGTCTTGGTTTGTGTGTGTGTGTGGGGGGGGAGGTGTAGGTCAGGTCCTGGAATGCTGACAGGCTGCAGGACCGCTGTGAGCAGACCCAGACCTGCCCTCAGCAACACCGCATGGGCTGGGCTCTGCGCTGGCTCCCTCTGTGTAGCTGCAGGGGTGCTGCGGCTGTGGTTGCAGCTGCGACTGGCCAGTAAACATGCGCATGGCCCCCCCCCCCCACCCCAATTTATGGCCTGGCCTCTGACCCCCCTCTCGTGTGGTGTGTGTAGTCTGCTGGCTTGCTTCTGAGTGACTGTGTGTTGAGCGGTGATGGAATGTGTGCGCGTGTGTATCAGATGAGTGTGTGCGTGTCCCTGCTTGCGGTGCTCTTCCTAAAACACTCGCGACACGGGAGTCAGCGAAGTGCTCCAGGCATTTCAGCTGGAATGTGTCACAGGCACAAGATGTGCTTCTGTTTAGGAAAACGAATCGGTTGACCCCTGTTCCCCCCCCCGATGGCAGCTGATTCGGTCATCGCCCCCCCCACACATCATGGCCGGCTGAGGGTGTCTGGCACGCCAGAGGCTGGGGCAGGGGGTGGGACTCTGCGCCTGTGATCGGAAGGTTTCGAATCCCAGTGCTGCCAGAATGATGTCACCGTTGGGCCCTCGAGCCCGACCCCCCCAGGGGCTGTCACACCGCTTTGCGAAATGTCCGTCGTGGCCGTGCATGTCCTCTGAGTGGCGTGTTGCTTGTCTGATGCGGTGCTGGCGACTTTGCAGGCTTCTTCCTTTACTCTGCCCCCCCCCTTTCAGGATCTAGGGTCTTGCTAAGGAGTGTTTATTTAACCAGCCACTGCTTCTTGCCAGATGCAAAATGGTCTCAATGGCTGCTTGGGAGTTGCTTGTGGATTGTTTTTTTTTCTTCTCCTGCATTATCCAGGTGCCTCCCTGTGCCCCATGCCTGTCCTGTGCGGTTCGAGATCCACCCCCGTGGCACACTTACACCGCAAATCTAATCACGGGGCACCGCAGAGATGCTGGTTATAAATATCCCGGCTCCTCTCCGGGAATCTGCGGTATGCGGCACAGAAAAGCAAATCACAGTGGGGGGGGGGGGGGA